ATTCAGCCGCTGTTGAAACTGATCAGTTTCAGCAGCGGCTGAATCTGGACGCCAGTTCCGACTTACATACAGATTCAACTTAAGAACAAACCTACAGTCCCTATCTTGTACGTAACCCAGGGACTGCCTGTACTTATTCTATGATTTCACATTTTGTGGGGATGTGTATAGCTTTACAAGGCAAGGATAGAATATTCATGGCACAATTAGATTAAGTGCTTGAGTGCCCACAACAATACAAGTTGAGGATGTTCATCATCCTGCTGGACTAGGTCCCAAAGGGGAAAAATTGCATTTACCAATATAAGCAACATCTAGCCATATTCTGCTATTAACCTGCAACTTCAAGTAGGAGAAAACCAGGAAGTCTATACAATTACCATTTTTCACTGAGGAAATACATCCTAGTGTTGCATGGAATTTCCACTCTAATTTTAATACTATTGGCTTTTGCTGTAGATATAAGAATGTATTCGTTCTAAGGACTAAAAGTTTTCTGCACACCTCGGGTCTGAAAAATGTTAATGCAATTCTCTTACAGAATTGAAAAACGTGAGAAATACAGTCGGCGACGTGCTTATAATGATGATGCAGATATTGATTACATTAATGAGAGAAATGCCAAGTTCAATAAGAAGGCAGAAAGATTCTATGGGAAATATACAGCAGAAATTAAACAGAACTTGGAGAGAGGAACAGCTGTCTAAACTTTCGGATCTCAAGAGGCACTATTCTACAAAGCAGATTGTTCAACATAAGCTAGGCATACTGTGCTGAAAAGCTTAAAAACTGTATCAACATACTAATAATGCAAATATAAAACTTGCGATAGTCATAATATTCAAATAACTAGTAAAACTTTTTAATCCAATGGTGTGCCTTGTATACATGCTTGAATGATGGTGGGTGTCATAGTTGTACATAGCTTTCCCTTCCAAAGGGGGCTAGTGTTGTCAATTTAGCAAACTTCAAAATGACTGTTACTCAGATCAAAACCTGAAGTTTTATAAATGTAGTTTTTGTTCGAATCAGATTTTGTGAAGTGGTTTTGACCATTTAAAATAGATGTTAACTAAACAGAACTGTGTGCCTGACTTTTTTTTAAAGCATTTCTTCCACACTAACAGGCTACATCTAGACTTTTTTTAATGACAAAAAGTTTTCCGTTTAAAAGCATTTGCGGAACAGAGCGTCTAGATTGCCACGGATGCTTTTCCGCAAAAAAGCCCTGATCGCCATTTTCGCGATCAGGGCTTTTTTGCAGAAAACAAATCTGAGCTGTCTACACTGGCCCTTTTGCACAAAAGTTTTGCGCAAAAGGACTTTTGCCCAAACAGCATAGTATACAGCATAGTATTTCCACAAGAAGCGGCCAGTGTAGACAGCTGACAAGTTTTTCTGGAAAAGCGGCTGATTTTCTGGAAAAACTGGCTAGTCTAGACACAGCCTAAGTGTATAGGATCTTTCAAGGTCAAATGTAGCCCAATTTGAGTCCTGGTGTGTGGGGCAGAAAGACAGATTGATATATCCTTGTTCTGTATAACATTGGAAACATTTGATTTTGCTAATCTTATTGAGAGATGTTCCCAGTTCTGCTATACAACTTTGCTAACCTGGTCCTGTGGTCCGGATGCCTGATCAGGGCCTCCCAAAACAGGTTCTGTTTTCTGAGCTGAAGGAAGGATGGAGGAGTGTTGGGGACCAGAGGAAGCAATTTACGGACACGTTGAAGGCAAACATGAAAAAGTGTGGCATCGGTGTACACACTTGGGAGAACCTTGCCCAGGACTGTCCCTCCAATAGCCACCAGCAGTTGCCCCATTTATGGTAAGACCTGTGGCTCCAGAATTGAGCTAGTTAGCCGTCTACGGATCCACAAATAGGAGGATAACAGGAAGATGTCCTACTCGTTATCGAGTGACTGCTGAGGGAGATGTGACAGTGGGCAAGTATCTAATTTCTCTGCTGCAGTTTTCCCCGTTTGTACAAAGGCAAGGGTAATACTGCCTCCCTGAAACTCATTACAAGTGTATCTTCCTACCTGCTATGCTATGATTAATACATGTGAGCAGGTGCTGTGAATATAAAAAAGTTTTCAGGTAGACATAAACCTCTTACTAACATAGTAATGCCAAAGAAGCAAGACTTCACATGATCCTGGGGGAGGTCTTCTACTGACTGCATATGGGAAGAGGCTGTTTCTTTTGATGCTGTGACAGACAATGAATTCAATTCTCCTTGGAGTTTGATGGGAGGGTGGCTCATGCTCTGCAACCCACTTGACGTAATGGTGCTTTCAAATAGGAAACTTAGTTTTAAGTTTATATCATGTGAAAGCACTTGCATAGTAATGTTTGTTTCAGATATGCTGCAGGTTTGTTAACCTTTTGTTTATGCCTGGCTCGGTTGGTCTGTAAACTCCTGAAACACGGGATTTACACTGGGGGGAGAAGGCAATTTTTGATGGGGAGCCACTCTGGGAATTTGGTAAATGGTGAGAGGTCACACTCTTCCATGATACTAATAGAGGTGGTGTGGAGTCTGGGATGGAGGTTGGGTTGGAGGAGGGGGTGTGAGATCTCTCAGGGAGTTTAGGAGGAGGGGGTTGTGAGGGGCAGGAAAGGAATCTGATGTGGAGGAGTGGAGGCCGGGTCTGGAAGGGGATTTGGGTGCAAGAGCAGGGGTGCAGAGGGTCTGGGTAACTGGCTAGTGGTGTTGAAGGAGAGCAGAGGGTGGCAGGCTGGGGTGTTAGAAGCAGGCTCTGGCCAGGTGGTACTTACCTTTGTGACTCCTAGCCAACAGCCCAGCTTGTTCCTCAGCCAGAGTCCCTGCCTTCCATGCCCCAGCACCAGCTGTAGTGGCATTTGTGGCTCTGAATGCTAGGAGCCCAGAGGGGGGAGGAATACTTCATGCAAACAGGCAGCTTCCATTGGCTGGAGACTGGCCAAGGGTGGCTGCAAGATATGCTCGGGGGTGGAAGCCTTTTCCCCTCTCCCACGGGGCTTGCAGCAATGTTCAGTGAGCTGCTCTGCACAGTGTGCAGGGGCGGGGCATGCAGGGAGACTGGCAGAGGCTCCAGCCCATAACCTTTCAGATGCGGATCTGGCCAATGTGAAGGGGCTAGAGTAGTGGTTTTCAAACTTTTTTTCTCATGACCCAGATGAAGAAAATAGTTGATGCTTGTGACCCAACATAATTTGACTAGTGTGTGGGCTCTAGGGTAGGGCTGAGAGCTTTGGGGTGTAGGAGGGAACTTTGCCTGATATTCCATGACCCACTAGCAGCTTGTGACCCATAATTTAAAAATGTTCTAGCCCATGGCTTTTCAAAATAAAAGACAAAGTTTGGGAAATGTGGCTGGATGGTAAGAGGGAAAAGGACCCTGGGATGGGAAGTATCAGGGTTCAATTCATCTCTGGGGGCATGTGTAAAACCTAAGCCTCACCCTTCCCACTGAAGGTGGTGTAGTGGAAGATGGAAGAGTCCGAGAACAATGCCTGCATTAAGTGGTAAAAAGGTTGGGGGGATAGTTGATCCCTTATCACACTCAGAACAGCCTTTTGCCCACAGAGCTTGTTTGTTAAGGGACAGGGGTGCAAGAGGTTAATGAAGCAGCAAATTAGTGGTGGTATAAGCTGGAAATCTTTCTAGTTTGACACAGCCTTCATGTACTTGGGTCTTTTTGAGTAGCTCATTTCCTCAGTGCATGTAATCACAGAAGCAACTGTACCCTTTTCCCAATGAAGTAGGAGGAGCTAGAGAGTATGACAGAGCAGAGCAGTGTTGTGAAACAATGGACTTTCTCACAAGCTGCATCATTTACCATGACTATAAGCAGCAGAGCCATCAGCCCCCTCATCTTTTTCTCCCACTTTGTAGCAATTGTCACAGTAAGTTCCTACAAGCAGGGGGAAAGAACTCTGAACACATGAGATTGATGCTGAAAGCACAACTAGAGCCCAGGAGCTTAAGTGATGCTCATGAGTTTTCAGTTTTGTTGCAGCTCCTGAATAGGCAGTGAGTATTCCTATACAGCACTGCAGTGTAGCCAAGACAGGGGTGTGTAGTAATTTTTGATACAGGGGCCAATCCCACATTCTGGTAAGTGGTCCATGATTGTATTTTTCTATGGCTAGGGTGGATGCTACATTGAAACATTTCTATTTGATTCCTACTGGTGATGGGGTGTAGTAGAGCTCCTCCCCACATTGTTCAGAGTTGACTATCCTGAGGAAAGTGATTTATTCACAAGAATAGACCACCACAAAGGTGGGTTTATTTCAGCTAAGTCTTAAGAAAAAGAGTGTTGGACATTTCCTAGTCTAAGACTAATATTTCCATTGGTCAGCCAAGGGAAGTGCAGCTGGGGGTGGGTTTTTTTTTTGGGGGGGGGGGGGGGGAGAGGTGGAAAACC